AACAGCACGTTTTTGTACATTTCTTTAAGTTTTCTGACAGGGTCTTGCTAACTCCTTAAGTGGCCCAGGCTGGGCTGAAATGTTCAGTGCCCCTGCCTCAGCCTCCAGGATGACAGACCAGTGTCACCACACTTGTCCTGAATTCTTATGATAGAGACAAAATACTGCAGGTACAATACAAGCTTCCTCCTCTCACATTCCCCTTCCTGTTTCATAACATGATTAATATTCTGGAATTGATGTGTATTTTTTCCATTCAGATACTATGACATATTATGTAACTTGTTTTTTGTACATTTCGAGTTACACAAATAGTGGTGCAGTAGAGGTAAACTGCTTTTTTCCTGTTAGGTCTATAATTCTGTGATTCAGTCTGGTTGAAACATGTAAGTCTAGTTTGTTTGGTTTTGGAATACACTGTAATTATATTTTTCCATTCCTGTTTTGATTGGCATTTATACTGTTTTATCCCTTTTTATTTCTAAAAGCAAGTGTGGAGGTTTCCTTGGGCCGCATCCAAGAGCTCCACTAGGGCTTATAATTATGAGCAGCACTTCAGGTTCATAGACTATAAACTTCTGACACTTTTAAAGTGTTGACAAATTATTTCCTTCAACAACAGAGCATGAGAGTTCTCATTTCCTGTCCTCTGGTATAGCTGAATGTTACTCTCTTTCATTTTCATAGAGGGTACAATTTCAGCAGTGTTTTAATTTGTGAGATTGATATTGAGAGATTAATTTATTTGTGAGATTCACGATCTCTCATTTTATGGGTCATCTGGTGTTATGATTTAGATCTAAAATCTCCTCCCAGTATGGCATGGGGGTGCATGCCTGTGATTCCAGCATTCAGGAGGCTGAGGCAGGAGGAACACCATGAGTTCAAGGACAGCCTGGGGCCTTCACTACATAGTGAAGTAAAAGTTAGCCTGAACATATATGGAGACACTGTTCCAAAAACAAGAACAACAACGAAAAGTGTCCTCCCTCCAAAGTCTCATGTATTCAGAGGTGAGGTTTTCAGCAAGTGATTGGATCTTGGGGTTGTTATTTGTGCAGAATGTGAGGTTAGAAGGTGAGGCCTACTTGGAAAGGTCACTGGAGCATGACCTTAAAGGGCATTTTCTTACTCATGGCTTCTCCCTTCTGTCTGATTCCTGGCTGCCCTGAGGTCAACAGCTTTTCTCTGTCACATCATTTCACCATGATGTTTCTCCCTTAGAGCCAGCTAACCATGGACTGAACCCCCTGAAGACAGCAGAATTAAACATCTTCTTTAAGTTGCTTGTGTTGTTATTTTGTCCCAGCAACAGGAAAGTGACTAATACATTTGTGTTCTCTTTTGTGAAATTCTGGTCTCATTCTTTACCCATCACTTTTCAACTAGAAATTTTCATGTCAATTTATACATGTTTTTGTAAGTATTGGATGCCAATTTTTGGTCTGGGTTACAGGATAAGGTTAAAATTATAAGGAGCTCTGTGGAATATGGCATATTTGAAAGATGAAAATAACAGTAAATCACCTCAAGATCATGGTGATTCCAAGGTGTCTCCATGACACTTGCTTTTCTCAGTCCCAGCAACTCAGGAACTTGCTCTTGCCAGGCAGGAGCTGCAAGGCTGAGTTATATCCCAAGATTTCATCCTTTAATTTCTAAAATAAAAAAAAAAATTCCAATAAATATGTTCCTAAACACTGTATGGTTAGATACAGTATGACTGAGAGACCACTTTTGAAAGCCCCATTCGGGAGACATTCTGTTATTTTGTTATGATAATGTATAACAACTCAGCTTTGACAAAAAGTGTACTGTATACTAATTTTGTAAGACCTTTCTTGCAGTTGTAAACTTGCACCATACCATTATTGTGTTTTTAAAAGACCAATTGAAGGCAGGCTCTTCTTTTCCAGATTAGCAACACCAGATCTCACTACACTTTCATACCACAGTCTGATTCCAACCTGTTGCTAGACTATAAGGAAACTACAGTGAGGTGATTTACTATTATTTTCATCCTTCAAATAAGCCATATTCCACAGAGCTCCTTATAATTTTAACCTTATCCCGTAACCCAGACCAAAAATTGGCATCCAATACCTACAAAAACATGTATAAATTGACATGAAAAGTAAGTTGAAAATTTCTAGTTGAAAAGTGATGGGTAAAGAATGAGACCAAAATTTCACAAAAGAGAAGACAAATGTGAACCTTATTGGTTCATAAATGTAAAATGTTAAGGTAGTCATATTAATCACTATGGTCTTTTATTTTTCTGCTCTTTGAGTCTTACTTACGGATAAGTTTCCTACTCTAATAACCTAATTACTTACCCCCAATTTTTTCCTCAAAGTTTTAAGTACTTAATTTTCGTATTTAGATCTTCACTCTGAATTTGGTTTTATATATAATATGGAGAGGCGAATTTAGTTCATTTTTTTGCCACCAGTTTTTTCTCTTGTACCATTTATTGACTGGTTCAACTACTACAACCATTTATAATGTCAGTTCTCTTATTTTGTAAAATTCCCACATAAACTTATGAACATTTGACTGTTTTCCGTCCTACCTCATTGGTCTGTTTGGGCATCTTGCACTAATATCAGGTTATTTTTAACACTGCAGCTAGAGAAGTCCTGAAATGTAGTAGGGTACACTGGCAGCTTTCCTTTAGTGCGGCTCTCCTTAGCCATTGTTCTATTCCATACTCTCACTTCTTTCTCCATAGCACTTCTCGTCTGTCACAGTGTACATTATTTATTTATTTATTTGTTCAGTGTCTGACTCTCTCAGGAGAATATAAATTCAGTAAGAGCAGAGTTTTATTTTATTCACTGCTCTGCCCTAAGTAACTAAAGTATTTCTTTAATGATTCAATATGAGAGAAACCATGCATATAGATGAACAAATGAAGGTGTAAATGAAGGACTTCTTAGCTCATTTTTTTTTTCTGATTTTGTTATGTGTTCTGGCTTCATCATATGAATTAGATAGCTTTCAAACATTTTGTATAGATGTACATTCCTTGGAACATATCGAGGTCTGGTGATTTCTTGGATAGATCTTGACAAATGATTTGATTTATTTAATGTTATAATTTTATTTAAGTTTCTAAAAATCTGCCTGAGCTATTTTTAGGCAATTTGTATTTTCTCATAAAATTGTCCTTGGTGTCTACATTTTTAGATTAATTTGTGTTAGTTTATTACAGCTCCCGAAATAAGTGAGTACAAACTCAGTGGTTTAAAGCAAGGCAAATGTGTAGCTCCGGAGTGAGAAGTCTCAGATGGGGGCCAGCGCCTTTTCTTCCCTGTTCCTGCGTCCAGGGATTGCTCACATTACCCTATGATCCTCTGGACTCCCACCCGTGAGGAGCCTTAGGATTATAATGTGCCCACCTGAATAGCCCGTATCATTCTTTCCATCTCAAGATTATCTGCAAAGTCCCTATAAACAAGGGTCGGATTAGGATTCGGACATCCTCTGGACGGTCAAATTTAAGGTATTTTGCATTATATTTTCTCTTGCATCTGTAGATGCGTTGCCTTTGTTTTTTCCTTTCAGACATGTTTACTTCTTCCTCGATCATTTTCTCGTGATCAGTTTATCTGATATTTGTCTATCAACTACATCCTGCCCGCTACGACAGACTGATGAATGTAGGCTAAAGGTGGGAAGGACCTGGCCTGCTGGGGCTTCTGCCCAAGTAAATCCCCCTCCCGTCATTTCTCACGACTTCCCCAACCAAAACTACCTGTGCCCTGGCTGGCTGGAAGTAACCCCGGGCAGGACGCGTCCTGGTCAGGGTTAAAGGTGATGGTGCATCCCGGCCGTTCTTACTCTGCTTTTCATTCTGCACGGGTGAATCCTCTCAGGTCGGGTCTGAGCCCCGGGAATACCTGAAAGTTGAACGCCTCACCTCACTACTCCCTGGGGTCTGAGGCCTGGGCATGCGCAGCGCCCTCGCCGGTCGCCGGGGGACGCGCGGGTCTCCCGGCTTCCCCACTCCCGGCCCCTTCCCACCCGCCTCCGTCTCCCCCGCCCCGCCCCTCACCCCGCCCCGGGGCGGCCCTGGCTCCCCCGGGGTTCACCTGCAGAGCTCGCCCCGCCCTCCAGCCCCAGGCTCGCGCTCCGCCCGCTCTCCCTCCCGCTCGTAGGGGCGCGAAGGAAACGAGAGCGGGTGTAGTGAGCGGAGAGCCACCGGGGGACCCCGTCTCCCCGCACGCCGGAGTCTCGCCTCGGAGGAGGAGGAGGGACGCGGGGGGAGGCGCACCGCGGGGCCGCGGCTCGCGGGCGCGCGCACTGGCTGGAGACCGG